ATCGGGTCTAATTTGAGTTTTATAAAGCATTACAAGATACTAAGTTGCCTATGTGTGTACAGGTTTTTTAAACACTACTTTGCCATTCTTCTTTTTTATTGTAGCGCATAGGCTACATTCAAAACAGCCTTAAACTATAAACAAATGAGAAAATTCCCTTTTTCTTCGAAAGTTACCGTTGACCACATTTCTGTAGACTCGGACAAACATACAGAAGACAGATTTTTTCAAAAATGTTCGCATTTCTAATTGAAAACTTTCTCTAAAGCAACTAGGGTTCTATATCTCCAAATAAAAAAGTCTGCCGTAAGCACCGAACTACTTCCTTCGGTCGTAGTATACAAACATGAAATATATATGAATTAAATATTTTAAATCGCTGACCTAGATGTACAAATCTGCAATACAATCAAATAAACTTGTTCATGAAAGACTGGTGTAAATCAAAGTTGCAACTAATGCGGTCATCGAATTTATTACGGAACATTAACGCTGATCATTACATTTCCAAACATCAGCATTAATCACACAATCACCTCATTTTCCTTCATTTCAAAGTACCAGATTACAGATGAGTAACTTTTTTCCAGTACTCTACCGAATGAGTGTCTCATAATTCTGAGGTCATATCTCAAAGCATGAATGCATCTACTCGTGAATCACCGCTAAGAATACACGACCGATATGTTCATAAAAATCCAATTATGGTCGAAACTCTCTGTCTCCAGCTCTGAAACATCAGAGGTGGCGTTTTTGATAATGACTGTTTTGTTTCGATACATTGGAACTGATAAGACACAAAATCGTTCATTCCGTAGTTCGAATGCATTTATTTTGGATCTTTAGACTATAGACGAATGAAGAAGTGATGGGTTATTATTATTCATAAAAACTGGTGTTCCTTTTTGAAAAATTATTCGAAGTTCAGGGCTGGATCGGCTACTCTGACAGTATATTCATTTATGGGTAGTGAAATAATAATTTATTTCCATCAAATTATCTCAAATTATACATTAACAATATCATACATTTGTATTGTATATACATACAGTTATACAACTATATAAGAATTATCAGTTAATAAACAAACAAATCCATAATAATAATCTATACTCGTAGATTGTGCATGGACGTGAAACTCGCTTTTGATTTTTTTGTACATCACTTTTAATGAAATGTACTCATGATGAAAAGAATAATAAGTATAGATCTACAGTAGAATAAAAAAACAGGTGGACAATATATGCATACATATACACACATAATATACACATTAAATTTACATAGATTACTCATAAATAGTTCGAGATTTATCTCACAGGTATAAGTCAGATTGCGAGAACCCTATCATCCTCATCAGAAGGCGAAATAAAAAATGGCATACCACAACGTTCAATACTGGGAGCAATACTTTTGTTTATACATAAACGTAACATCTATCGATATAGAAGGAAAATTTACCCTATTCGTCGATGATACCACAATATTATAGCGTTATAAAACTGTAATCTCCACGAGATTATAAGTTCAGATATAAAAAAATTAAAAACTGGTCGACTCCAATCTGCTGTCATTAAATGCTTCCAAAACAAACTTGATAACATAATTTGAAAAAATTGCATGCTGATCAATTTTCATTATACTCCCTAGTTAATTTTCAAGGAAAAACACTACCCACATCCACTATTCTCGATGTACTACATCAAACAACATCAACGAAGCTTCTGGTCCAGATGAAGTATGCTTCATTTTACTTGAAAGTTAACCAGTTAGCTTGCCCAAGTGCTTTGTAGGCTCGATAACCTGTCCTATAAAAAATAGGCGATGATCTCGAGTCTTGTCTGTCTTTTGCCAACCTTAGGTAATGCTGTATTTTCTTGATGGGCTTATGATTTTGTATATTCAATGAGGCGACCAATCTTCTCGGTTACTTTTGTAATGAAGGGTAGAAAGGTATTTAGTGTCTGCTTTGTTTTTTATTCGGGATTAATTTTCTTTCCTTTTTCGATATTCTATTTGGAGTATCCATTTGTAAGAAAAATGTTTGTAAGGTGTTTTGTTCTTATTTTAGATGGTGTGCAGCGCTGATCCTCTTCTTTCATTTCATCAATGTTATTAAATATTCCCCACTTCTGATTGGGGTTGTGGTTCGAATGTACATTTAGCTCACAGTATACGTTGCCTTTTTACATACTTTGTGATCTAAATGGTCTGCGGCCTTTATCACCAGAACATCCAGGAATGCTAATTGTTTGTCCGTCTCGAGCTCCATTGTGAACTTTTTTCCTGGGCATTGACTGTTGGCAGATATACCAGGAAGTCGTTTAGATTTGTGTTTCCAGATAAAAAATGCATTGTTGACATACTACAGGTTTCAGGTTTGATGATTATATTGCTTTCTGTTCAGAGTACTTCATGTTATAGGTTAGCGACAATAGGACTAGGGGGGACTTCCCATAACTACTTCATTTTGGGGGCGGCAGCTGATTAACGGAAAAACAGATTTAGTTTTCATAGAAATCGCGTTTCAAAAAACCCTCTGAGAGGCGGACACGGAAAAGCTCGGTCTAGTGTGAATAGACTCCTTATTAGTTCTAGCTAATCAGGAGTCAGCATTTCAATAATTGATCTGTTATATTCTGCAGAGTCATTACTGCAGTAGCAGTACCTTTGTATACAAGTACGATGATGATGTTTTGGTCGACACTTAATGTTTGAATAGCCAGATGTTCTCCTCTAGACAAATTGCTGGCTATCATTTGATATTTTGTTAGATTGCTGCTCTGGCGAAATGAACAATACGATTGTTTGCTGTATATTTTTTTAATTTGCAAATTTTATGCCGTTCACTGTGACAATATGTGTGTCCCCATTACAATCCACTTAGCAAAGATCTCGAAATATAAACTTCGAGTTATAAAAACTCACATAACTCTGGTTCGAAAATTCACAACGTATTCCGCACTAGGTTACTGCCTAAGTATTGGAATTTGAAATATACAGTGAACAAACCGCCAGCCTTCATTTATCCATTCCAACATTTTTTTTGGTTAGTCAATATTGGCAAGTTTGTCTGGCATCTCGAGCTTGCCAGGTCTCATTAGAAAATATAGTTTTTATGAGGTGTATGTGTTTAGAATGATTACGATAATAATCAAACCAATGAACTGTGGACAGGGTCGGTGTTAGAAAAACTATGCAGGCAAGGCGACAAGGTCTCCGCGCCAGATGGTGAGTTCTTGTAATTTGAGCGCGTTGTCTTATGTAAACCACACATCATCACAAAGCAGTGATTATTTCATTCTCAATTACAACAATCTGAATCAGATTTGATAAACTTTACCACCCAACAAGTGTTCGAAATAGTTCCTGAAATACAACAACGGGAACTGACTTTACATGTTTATTACGTGATATCCATTTGTAAGGTTGTTCTGGACCAAATAACGGTAGCCGGTTGGGTTGGCGTGGGTGGATTGCCCCTCTCTCTCTCAATCGACCGCTGTGTGAACCGCTGGTCCAAGCCGCGAGGCCAGACGATTAATTTACACTTTCTATCCAACCCTTGCTAGAAATCGCCCTCGTACAAGTTTCTGAAAGTAGTTTGTAAGAGGGCGACAGGTGGTCAACGGTAAAACAGATTTTTAACATGCAGTTGATCCACATTTGACATCAGTCAAGTGGTTGAGTCCGATCTTCACTGCACTGACGAGGGTTAATATCTTGAAACCGGTCTGTAGGTGATCTACTCGATTGATTTCAGCGCGGTTTTGCTGCTGGATGAACGAGAAGCATTTCTTTGAGTTAACTTTCATAAATGTCTCTTGGATATGATTCAATGTTTATCGTGGTATTAACTTGAGACGTAGTTGTTATCCTACCAGATCCTACTGTGTAGGAACGTTGGGAAAAGTGAATGTTTCGAAATTTCATTCCGAAATATTTATTATCTTAATAATCCAGTACATTGTCTTCATCAATCTTTTTTCTGAATAGGCACAACCAATACAAAAGAATAGTTTTGCTTTGAGGAAGTTGCCTTTGCGAATGTAGTGGTTTACGTTGGATTTTCATTGCTATAGAATATATTCATGTGTGAAACCAGAAAGTGTTTATACACACCGACACCGTTATTTAAAGTTTGCTGAAAGTGCGGTTCGAGGTGTATTAATTTGAAACTTGAGGCAATGATAGACAGCAATTGATTTCCATGTACTGTTGATTATATACCTCTCTTAGTGAACTCCAGCGGTCTGAGCCGAACACTTTCTGTGAAAGTATTAACAGAAGAGAAACAAATGCCTAGCATCATTCGATGTTAATAATGTGTGGGCCTCCAGTTCGATAGATGGCTCTTTTTGAACAGAGTAGGGAAGGGCTCCATATATGTGGACAATATTCAAAGAGGTCTGACTTGGGTTTTATGAGGCATTAAAGATTGCTGAGGTGTGCACCATTTTCTAGTTCAAAATAGTGTTACAAGTTGAGAAACTTGTAACACTCAGTTATTTCCTTAACGTGATTCTGCCAAAAGAAATTGGCATCAGATTTATCACCTAAGAACTTCATTTGCGGAATTGCGGAAACAAAGCTGAAATTTTCTCCAAATCTCCATTGATATATAAAATTCCTTATTGTCGCCAAATATATGCATTGTGCATTGATGTTTGGCAACGAAATAGTTGCTGATGTGAATTGGAAAAGAATTGAAGACAATGTAGATCTTTGAGAAATACTGGGGTTGATTGTAATATGATTCTGAAGAGGACTATCAATGGCTAGTTGTAAGAGACGATCTATGAGAAGACTGGAAAGCCACGAACATGAACTCTGTGGCAAACTATATCATCAAAGGCTTATTATCAATTCCTCATGCAAGGCACAGTCTTTTCAAGGCCTAAGACGTTTATTTGTTGATTTTCTTTTGGAAACTTATTTATTATCGCTTATGAAAGTTTCAAGAAAATATTTTTAGATTTCTATAAATTAATTTCAGGCTGATGAACTGGATTCAAACAAAACTTCCAGAGTTGCCAATAAGAAATTTCACAACAGACTGGAACGATGGAAAGGCAGTTGGAGCCTTGGTTGATGCAGTTGCACCAGGACTGTGTCCTGATTGGCCGGTAAGTAATCGGAATATCCAACTGTCTTCCTTTCTGAAAAATAAAAAATAATAATGTTATAGTAGTACAGAGATTTGGAACACAGGACTTCCACAGCCGAATGTCTTAGTCCTTAGTCTTATTGAAGGCCAATAATATATCTTCAGATATTAAGAACGAGACCAAAAAATTATTGCTTCTTTACAAAGGACCACATCTAGTAAGAAAACGCCACCAATAAAAACCTTTATCACTTTAACCGAAGGTCCAAGTGATTAATGTTTGATGCACACCAACTCAAAAGAGATTATGAGTCTATTCAAAGATTTGTTAACTCACGGTCTGATCAATGTTCCATCTTTGAAAATAAAACGTATTTCAAAGAATGAAGTACAGCTAACATACTTGATAGCATTCAATAAGTTGTCAGCAATTTCCAAAATGAGTTACTTGGATATCAATCCAAGTAACTCATTTTGGTGTTCATAACGAAATTCTTAACTTTAATTGGCGATCCTTGTAGATAGTGTATCCATAAAATGAAATAACTTGTATTTCGGTTTTTTATCACACTATGTTTTTCAATATAGATAGTTATTTTATTTTTACTATGCCCCTGCCCGTAGGAGACATGTATTGAAGTTTTCTTTTGTTTCATAGGACTGGGATTCCAGAGAGGGTGTCAAAAATGCATCAGAAGCCATGGGTTTGGCCGACGACTGGTTGAATATTCCACAGCTGATTAAACCAGAAGAAATCGTCAATCCAAATATTGATGAACAGTCTATGATGACTTATTTGTCACAGTATCCTAATGCTAAAATAAAACCTGGAGCACCTCTTAGGCCCCGTACGAATGTGAATAAGTAAGTTGATATATTAGTAGAGGAAATACGCAGAAGTGAAATTTTGGATAAAATAACCGTTTGATGATGATTTCTTGTTAGTCTAGTTCACAAGTGTCATTTCGCAAAATTTGAGCTGGCCTTCACTGTGAATTATGATGGAGATGTTATTCGATTCGTAGTTCCGCTCACAGTTATTTACGATGTGAGCAAAATTGCGCAAAAATAGTTTGAATCTTATACTTCAGTCAAACGAAAAAAGAGTGGTTCAATTTGTAAATATCTCAGAAATTCAGAACTGACAATTCTCGCCGCCCGAAACTGTAGGACCAATGTTTATATGAGTGTACATATTTTTCCCGAAGGTTGGGCTGGTCGGGCTTAGTCTTCCATACCCTGACGCATTCGGAAGGGGGCGCAAGTATCATCAACTAAGTGAGGTAGGTAATTGATTCTTTGGTCCGAAAATAATGTCCCCTAAGCAGACGCAATGAGCCAAGAACGACAGTCTCCTTTATTGTTCCGGCCAAGATTTCTTCCTCAATGCTGCAAACCTTCGATGATCAGAATAACAATCTCAACAGAGTGGTCTGGATAGAGCCTGTTGAGTTCGAAGAAAAAATCTTGATATTCCACCTGTTTCTTCTTCCACTTTAGGACGATATTCGCCTTATCTTGAGCTGAAAACTCAACCACGAATATTGTCTTGCTCCGATGGTCGAAAAGAAATATATCAGGCTTAATAGCTTGTATGAGTCTGAGGGTGGAAAATGAGCAGTGCCAATAATCTTGGCATTTCTCATTTCCCACAACTGATTCAATTGTTACTCTTTAACGACCCTTGTTTCAAATATCTGCAATAGTTATTGAGATATTCGGAAGAAACGAAACTCTCTTATTTCGTTTAACTAAACTGTTTCTAACTTACCAACTTTTCGTTAGCGCAGCTTGACTATAATGGTAAATTACTCTAAGGAAAATTATTAATCGAATGATATCTCACTATAGAGACTATTAATAATGGCTACCAGTGTTGCTTGAAGACCATGTTTGTGGGGCGGGATAGTGGTTTGGCGGGCTTAGTAAACATCCTCAATCTGATAATACAGTGTATCAATTTGAAAACTTTACAGTGTTTAAAACTTCCCTCCAGGAAGTTACATAAAAATTTGAAAAGACACAATTTCAAAAAGGATATTTTAAAAGAATATTTCAACCCTTGTGATTCAATCTCCCAAGAGGGGTGAAATTCTCTTTATGAAGATACCCTAATTCATTATTTTTTGTCCAGCAGTTTTCTGAATATCGATTCGAAAGTTACAGAAATAACGTTGCAATGACGTACTTTTGTCCTACTTCTGTAACAAGATTTACGATGTCGCTACAAGTTTTACTTTCGCTGTATTGTTGTACAAGTAATAAAAGAATATGCATCTCACCTGAAACTTGTCAAAGAGTTCGATAATTTCGAATATGTTCTTTACCACACGCTTCTAGTGTGATCATATTCAAATGATGTTTGATTCTATTGTTTACAAGGTCATAATTACATCAAATCACACAATGGTTGTTTTCTATTGGACTATGGACTTGGAATCAAGGGTTATTTTCTTGAATGAATAACCTAACACATTGTTTTCAGAGTAAGAGTGTATGGTCCTGGTATTGAACCTAGTGGTCCGATGGTCGGAGCCCCAGCAGTATTCACCGTCGAAACCTTCTCTGCTGGCAAGGGACAAGTAGAAGTTATTGTACAAAATCCAAGGGGCCAGAAGGAAAATGCTGAAGTGAAATTCAATAATGACAAAAATCTCACGTATGCCGTCTCATACACTCCTCAGCTTGAAGGCAACCATACGATATACGTCAAATTTGCAGGACGAGACTCACCCAAAAGTCCTTATACCGTGAAAGTTGAAGGTTTCGCTGGAGACGCAAGTAAAGTTACTGCTTCTGGCCCAGGCTTACAACCAGAGGGAGTATTCGTAAATAAATCTACATTTTTCGACATTTTCGCCAAAAGTAAGTGAAAAATACAACTCGAAGTTCCAATATGAAAATAATAATGACATAGATTGTTATAATCAATGGCATAAATTTCACTAATTGAAGAAATCTTCTCTATAGAAGCAACATAAAGTAGAAATACAGAAATCGAAAGTTTCTCAATGCTAGTATTCCATAACTTTTTCTATCAAAGCATATAGTTCCAAAAATTGAAACTTCATAAACCATGTTACAATAATGAAACCTGAACGAAACAGTAAATTATCAAACATGATGGGAGCGAGAGTCTCTCAGGTGTGGTTTTTTTTCAGTATCAATTCTCATAACATATTTTTTTTTCAGTATTATGCATCGATATGAAATTTTATAGATTCTGTGAGATGATTTGCAAATGTAATGATATCATGATTATGAGATTTTATGATTCTGTTACTTTTTTAAAAATATATTGAACGTGTTCATTTAAATTTGTTTTGCTAATGATATGAATTATGCTGTAAGTTATGATAACATTTTATTTCTGTACTTTTCGTTTCTCCAATTATCATTTTTGAAACTGTGTGTTTGATAGGACTAAGTTTTGTTACAGTCACACTGACAAACTTTCAATTTCTTTCTTTTATGATCCTGAGTCAGTAAATGTTCTACTTTGTTTTGATTCTATATTGTATATGTTTCTTTAAATAGCAAATTCTATTATATTTATTACGTCAATATGTGTATCATTTATTATTTTTGAGCCATCTCAAAAATGTGCCTGTGAACTAAATATGATACAAATGTAAGGGTATTGATAGTTTATTACTGAATTTTTTTCAGACGCAGGACAAGGTGCACCTGAAGTTATGATTTTAGACCCTTCCCACAACAAAAACAGCGTTCCTGTCTCAATAAAGCCAACTTCCTCAGACACTTGGAGATGTAGTTATGTATCTCCCATCCTTGGTCAACATTCCGTTAATGTATTTTTTGCTGGAAAACCCATTCCAAATAGCCCCTTTGGCGTCAAGATATCACCTGCCTCAGACGCGAAAAAGGTGAAAGCCAGCGGTCGGGGTCTACAACCCGATGGCGTACGAGTCAAAGATGAAGCGGATTTCAAGATTCACACAGATGGCGCTGGCGAGGGAGTTCCTGAAATTCAAATAATCGGCCCGGAAGGAGTACATCAAAAATGTATTATAAAGAGAATTGACGAACACACGTATTACGCATCTTACACACCCCTGAAAGAAGGGAGGTACATTGTAATGATAAAATTCGCAGGAAACGAAATTCACAAATCTCCATTCGAAGTAAACGTAGGTCCTTATAAAGAAACTGCTATCAGAGCGTACGGGCCTGGTCTTGTAGGGGGCGTTATCAACTACCCAGCGTTATTTACTGTTGAAACTAATGGCGAAACTGGTGCCTTAGGTTTCAGTATCCAAGGTCCGTCTCAAGCGCAGATTGATTGTACCGACAACGGTGATGGTTCAGCAGATGTTAGGTACATTCCGACAGCTCCTGGTGAATACGCTGTCCATATCTTGTGTGACACCGAAGACATTCCTCGCAGTCCCTATATTGCGCAAATTTTACCTAATACAGATTACTACCCCGAGAAAGTAGAAGTTCACGGTCCCGGAGTGGAAGGCAGTGGGGTACAGACACATGTACCAACAAAGTTCATTGTAGATACAAGGAAAGCAGGATCTGCACCTCTAGAAGTTAAGGTAGGTTAGGTTAGCTCGAAAGTAAGTGGTTTATTCGGACCTCCTGTCCGATTCGCGAGGGTTTATTATTGATTACACCAATTCAATCTCCACGAAATAAGTTCAGCTAACGTAGCCTATTATTTTATTTGTGGAATGATTTTTCAAGTCTGATGGCGAGAGTGAAACTGCCAAACACTGGAAGTCTTATTCACTCCACGGCAAGGCAGGCATAATGTATGTACTCCGTTGTTTTATTGTCTTGCAAATCAAGACGGCTTGCCGGGTCTTTCAACAATCCAAGTATCTTTATATGATGATTCAGACAATGGATCCCTGTAAGGGATTTTCGCCTTAAATATGGTTGTATAGATCTGTAGGCAGACTGTCCTTGGTCTGTGACTATATATACCACAACCTGATACATCTGCTCTTAGTATTTCATAAGTTTGAATGAGAAACCGTTGGTGCAATATATCCATGTTCCACCAACGGGTTCTTCAAAGAATATATTTGGTCACAGTACTCTGCATGGTTTTTATTAAATGATTGGACATAAAAAGATTCGTCTTTTTTCAAGGACAAAACACAAGCAGTACAGGAAAATCCTTAAGGCGCTCTAAAAGCTGTGCCTGTACATTCGAAGTTAAATGTAGAAAAAATACAAATTCAATGAATGAAAAAGATTTGCTGAAAATATAATGTAAAAATTGAATCAATATTGAAGTGCTACAATTGAATCAGAAATATGAAAAAGAGTTCAACAAAAACATGAGATTAACCAACAATGCAATGGTGAATTATTGTTAGATATTGGTCTGAAAATTCTAATGAAGTTGTATAATACGGAAAATACTTACTGAAAATTCATTGTACAACTACTATTGTAGTTGTACAATTTTTTTGGTATTAAGATGTTACAATGATATAAAATATGAAATTCAAACTACTGTTAGGTGTTACAATAAATTTTGACTTCTTATGTGGTTTTGTTTCATCAAGCCACGGAAAATTTATTTAATTCGGCATTAAAAAGTTAGATAAATGAAACTTATTCAAATATAGTGAAACCTTCTTAGGGGGAATCAAAATTTTAATATATATTGAATACGACATTTGGAAAAGTATTTATTATTTTCATGTATGTTCCTATGAACAGGAATTCCATCCTAAATCGAAAGAATGCAGTATCCCCTTGCAGTGTTATATACTGTAATTTTTGAAAATGTAGAGGGACAACAGGAGATTCGAGAGAAATTTGAAATTTTTCGCATTATTTAAAAAAATTCATCATCGAATAGTTTTTTTTTTTTCATTAAATCTCGTATCTTTACTGACTGACAAAATAAGATCAACACTCATATATGTTTATCCTATTTTAATAACTTTTGCTGCGTGTTTTCATTATCTTCGCCTCAGTAAATTATTAGACTTTCAGCTCGAACGTTTAACTATCTGAAAAAATCGGTTGAATAATGCGTTGACGATCCGCGATTTCTAAGAGAAGATATAGGTGTTTACCTTTTTTGTCAATCAGTTTATGTTAACCAAAATCTCTTGACTAATTTACAATTTCATTGCTCAAAAACACATTCAACGCAATAGGAATATTTAATTATATTCGATCATTGAGCAGTTGTTTTGAATTTTTGAATCTATTGTTTTCCTAACGTGTTTGTACATGCCACAGTGTGAAGTTAATGAAGTCTTGGACTCAGGATAAAAGAAGGTTGATGAATTTATTGTCACCCCTAAAATGCAGAGTAACTTTGATTTGATATAAATAATTACTTTCATGTGATTAATGCGACAGGACAACGCCATTTTTGCCAGTCGTTAATCCCCCTCCTACCAAAAATGTTACATTTTATAGAAGAGAAAACCTATAATTTCAACATTTGTTTTTTTTTTTCATATACAGGTTAGTGATGCTAACTCCAATAACGTAAATGTAAAGTTAGTTGAAAAGTCTGATGGAATCATCGAAGGTACTTATACACCGATCACTGGAAACCGTCACACGGTTCAAGTGAATTATGGTGGAGTGGCTGTGAATAACTCTCCATTCAGAGTGTTTATTGAAGAACCTGTTGATGCTTCAAAAGTGCAATATTTCGGACCAGGAATAGAAGATGGCGTCAAACCCAATATTCCAACACACTTCAATATTGATGCCAGGTATTGTTTAATAAATAAAATATAATTCAATGAGTGACTGAATATTGTATATTTATAACTTCTTGTTAGATTCAAAAGTTATCTACATCCAATGACATTCAAGTGAATTAATCTGACCGCTTTCATTTGCTCCAATTCAAAAGTTAAACTGTTGAATAGAATTTACATCTACTAGGTAAAAATGTTCAAATTTTTTATTAGTGTTCATTTGAAAGTCATCCATATTTCTTCTTCGAGTATGTATTTTGCTTGTGTACTTATGTTAATTGATCTGAGAGATGGGAAACTGTTTTTAAATTTGAATAAACCATTACTGTTGATCCTGTATCATCGACATCAACCAGTATTTAACAGATCCATACCAAACATCAAGATGTATTCATAAAAGATAGGAGAGTATTTTTCTTCGATTCACGATCTCTGAAGTACTTTATGATGCCTCAGGAGATCTCCCGCATTTCCTCAATGGGCGTGTCTGTAACAATTTAATATTGCCCTCATGTTTGAATAATGATAAATTGTTTACTAATCTTGATCCGTAGTCTGTAAAAATGTAGTTTTTGACACATTTGTAAAAAGTTTTTAAAAAGTGTCAGCATATGCGTTCATATTTCATTTTTGATCTAAAAATTTCAGAGAAGCCGGATATGCTGATTTGGATGTGCATTTAGTGAACGAGGATACTAGGGAAGAAGTACCGATAAAACTCACTGATAATGGCGATCGAACTTACACAGTTGACTATGAAACTGTTCATTCCGGAGTACACAAACTCACCCTTCATTATGGCGGACAAAGGGTTCCTAGCACACCTATGAAATTCAAAGTTCGACCAGTTGTTGATGTCACAAAAATTAAAGTCGATGGATTAGAACCAAGTAAGTGGAAAATCACTTCAAATGATAATAGAAACTAAGCGTCAGTGCACTATTCAGTTGCACGAAAGATGATGAAAGTATAAAACAAAATTAAAAAAGGCGACAACATTTCCCTTTAGGAAGTCGCCATCTATGGAATCGACAGAAGACCCAATCCATAAACAGAAAAGATAAACGAGGCTGTTTCTTCAAGAACAGTTGAGTTCAGCAATGCATTCGTGGTTCAGTCTGGTTCCACTAATGAGACCTAAGGCAGGTCGAAACGGCGCTGTATGTCGAAACGGCGCTGTATGTCGAAACGGCGCTGTATGGCACTTTATGCTTTGTTTTTGGGCTCTGGTTTAAACTGGTTGTCTTGCACCGAGAGGCGGAGGAAGAATCTTGTCGGCGGTCGATGTCGAAACTTGACATTATAACAGGTCCTTAGAGAGCCTTGTTTATCTTTCGATATTTGTATATTGACTCGTTTATCGATCCCATAAGTGCCTTCCAAGGGAGATGTCATCGTCTTTTCTTACTTAGGCTGTCCTTTGAGGGTAGTTGGGCCCAGCAATACATTCGGTGTTCATTCTAGCACCATTGATGAGACCTGTAATAGATAGAAACAGCGCTCTTTGGATCACGAATGGTTTATTTTTGGGCTCCAATTTCAACTGTAGAACTGTAGGAAATGTAAATTGTTCATTCCTTATGCAGCCCTTCAATGCAGGGGTTGTCATGTTGATGTTATTATTATGACAGAGATTTTAGCATTATATTCAAAAAGATAAATGTTGATTTATCATCAATATTTTTGTACTCTCCCATCATCATCTCACTCATAGATGTTAACCATCCTAAATGGTTTACTTGGATATATACATCATGCAGAAAGTAAGAAAGATAACTGGATTTGAGTAACAAAATGTGTTAATTTCTCTGGTGTCGGTTCAACTTAACCATGATCATAATCATCATGAAATTAATTGCTTTTCTCCTTTCTTTTTAAGATTCCCACATTTTTTTGTATAAAGATGGGAAAGTAGAAAGCCAAAAGATTTCCCAAAAATTGATCTCTCCTGAAAATATACCATTTTCAATTTAAACATCAGATGAATATTTCATCAAAATAGTGAGTTCACTTATTATGATCATTGATCCACTTTATATCAATTCAAAGTTATTAACATCAAATCATTTGGAATATATTTATTGAGTTGTTGCCTACTTGCCTGCTTGCAGTGAAAGATACTAGAAAGTAAATTCCCATTCCAGCAGTCGATGTCAAACTAAGAACCGCCGTTAAGACCCTCGTTATTCATTGGTATTGATGTTTTATGATTTTTGTTAGTCCCATTGATTTGGACTTCCTAAGAGGAAATATCACATAGCCTTTTCCTACACAGGGCTGTTTGTGTTGATTACATGAGAGTTCAACCATTGCATCTACCATCTGACCTAATACCATTGTTGAATAGCGATATCCCTTATTGCTTCATCGATGCAACGCTTTGGCTCTGGTACCATCTAACAATAGCAATCATATCACTATCAAAATTGACATATCTATACCTTTGATATAGGTATGGAATCAATTTCACCTTCCATCAAATTTGTATGGTCTTTGTACTGGTTCCATAAATCAGAATGTAGATAGAATTCCGCAAAATGCTTCTGGGAAATCTCTTTCAGCCAAATGTGCCGAAACGTTGATAGGTAGTTCTTGGCATGCTGATGGAAAGTATCAATTAAGAATGAGTTAAGAAGTACCTCACCAAGAGAACGTAGTTATGAACTGTTAAATTATTTTGCACACTCAAATTCAGTGATATTATTAAAAGTATCTGTAACACATTACTCGTAATATTTTCCCCTGCAACAATTGATTTATTTTTACAATTCTCTTCGAAACCAGCGGCCCCAGTAAACAGTTTACAGCAGTTCCGAGTAATCACTCAAGACGCCGGAAAGGCAGAATTCGCAATTTCGATAACGAGTCCGTCAGGAAATAAAGTGAAAGCCCACGTAATACCTACTCATGAGGGCTACCTAGTGAATTTCACCCCTACCCAACTAGGGGAATACCTACTAGGAATATCATTCGGTGGAGAACCGATATCTCATCGACCGTTCAGATTGACTTGTTTGACAGGGAGTGATCCCCTCAAAGTGAAAGCATCAGGCCCTGGCCTTCATAGAGGCATCGTGAACAGACCAGCCGAATTTATGATCGACACCAGAGGAGCTGGTCAAGGTGGTCTTGGCGTGACAGTTGAAGGGCCGTGCGAAGCAGCTATCAATTGTAGAGACAACGGAGATGGAACTTGTTCCGTAGCTTATTTACCCACTGAAATCGGTGATTATGGAATAAATATTACTTTTAATGATCAACATATACCTGGTAGTCCCTTTCAGGCTATCATAGCACCTGAGATCGACATGACAAAGATCAGAGTATCAGGAAGTGGGATACAACTACATGGTAAACCTGTGTGAAGGCGATGTGTTTAGATTTTTCATATTCGACTAATAATTCTTATTAACGTTCGATGCATGAATTTTGCTGCTGTGTGTTTTTTATTTTTAATGTTCACTTTGAAGAAATGTAATGTTCAAATGATACGATTGGAATCAAAGGAAAGGAATATTCAATAAAAAAGTTCAACAAAATATTCATATTATAACCTATAGCAGTTTCTAGAAGTCGTCAGATGAAAAAAATATGTGTAATGATGAACTGTCTTGTTATATTATAATGATAACTTATCTATCATATTATCATATTTTAAAGTGAATATATCATACTCTTTCATTTACTCTACCATTCACTTTCATTTACTGTTTCATTTACTTACTCAAGAATTCATGAAATGTCATATGATAGAATATAATAAACATATTTTTTTCTTAGCAAATGTGGTATATTGGCACATTTATGTCAATTTTAAAAAACTATATCATGAGGATTTGAGGATATTACTCGATACTGAACGCGCCATAAGTATCTCAAACTTTTTGCTTTTCATAATCATAAAATTTATGAAAGGTATAAGGCGGCAAAATTACTATTGACGATTAGAAAAACTATCGTTGGGATCTGTATTATCATAATCTCACAAACGGCTATTCACAAATATAAAAGTGATGTCAATTTAAAAAATCACGTCAAATATTTGTTGAAAAAAAAACATTTCAAAAATTCTATTCAAGTTATTCAGCTTATTTTTTCTTACGAATAAAAGATAGGCAAATACATGAGAACGTTTTGCTGTTCGAACTTCTAGTGAACATCAAAAAACTTTTTGCAAAATAAGTCACGAGCATAATCTAGAATTAAATATGATTGATTTTTTTTATTCAACTATTTGAAATTTGGAAAATTAATCCCCTTAACAAACGCGCATTCTCCGAAATTATGTAAGGAGTATTCAGGTGTTCATCTTCAAAATTATTGTGTGATTATTAAAATACTCAAAACCTAATCTAATAGCAGTTCATGATCAAGAATTATCTGGCATTCAACATAGATTTATTTTATTAGGATGAATCTCGAAATATTCCTTTCGAAAAATATTGCCTCTCGTGGTAATTTATATGAGTTAAAATTACTTAAATTATTATGTTGCTTCATTGTATGAGCTATTTTGATAATGTTTGAAGCTTTTTTATGTTGAGTTGTGTTGCATGTATTTTAAACTTCCCGTTTTCTCAACAAACTGCCTGTAAAGTCAGACTTTTATTAAAAATCCTCTGTGAAATTATTTAGATAACTATAAAACTTTGAACTCTAACAGTCGTTCAATAAAATTAATAATTAAAATATCATTGGATCAGTATTACTTACTATTATAATTTACGAGAGAACTGAGTAGAGGAGAGAATTCACATTGCTGTTCATTCCGTTTTTATAATAAAGTGTGATTTTGCTTGTAATAATCTAAAAAACCGTCATGATATCGAAGGTTCACGAAAATATTCAATTTTCAGGTGTTTATGTCGACTCACCAACAGACTTTTTGGTTGATACGAGGGGAATACCAAAATCAACGGAAGATGGCAAAGTGACGTGCACTATTACCAATCCGTCTGGCACACAGACTGAAAATTTAATAACTTCCCTATTAGATGGAACCTACAAGGTCAGCTACACTCCGTTCGAAGAAGGCAAACACACCATTGACATATTCTACGACAATATTCCTGTACCTGGTTCTCCGTTCATAGTTAACGTGAGGAGAGGTTGTGATGCTAAGAAATGCCACGCTTACGGCGCCGGTCTCCAGAAGGGTATTCTGAATAAACAAAACATCTTCACAGTAGAAACTAAACAAGCTGGCACGGGTGGTTTGGCTCTGGCTATAGAAGGTCCGTCTGAAGCAAAAATGACTTGTAAGGACAACAGAGACGGTTCTTGTTCTGTGGAATACATGCCCACTGAAGTTGGTGAATACGATATTGCCATTAGGTTCGCCGACAACCACATTCCCGGATCACCATTCAAAGTCGTGGTTTCGAAAGAAGTCGATGAAAACTTGGTGAAAGCCTTTGGGCCAGGATTGGACACCACACAGTGCAGGCCTGGAATACCGACCAAATTCACCATAGATGCCTCCAAGGCCGGTCCTGCTCCTGTTGCTGTGAACATCACAGCAGACTCCAAACCTTTAGCAAAAAAACCCGAAGTTGTGGACAAAGGAGATGGAACTTTCGAGGTTACTTATGTTCCACCTCATGAAGGTTCGAATCTCCAGACTCATGTTACCTACAACGGTAAGGAAATACCAAATAGTCCATTCCCCGTAAAGGTGAGGCCTTTGTTCGAGCCTGATAAAGTGAAATTCAGTGGTCCAGCCATTTTCGAGAAGGGAATTCCGGCTTCTGTTCCAACCACGATTAAAATCGACACAAAAGAAGCTGGTTTCGCAGATTTGGAAGTAAAAATTACCGGTCCCGATGGATATTCAAGGCCAGTCACTTTAAAAGACAATGGCGATGGTACATTCAGCGCTACGTTTGTGCCTGATGATTGCGGCAGGTATAAGCTGGATACTAAATACGGAGGCAAGGAAGTTCCCAATACGCCTATCGCTATCCAGACATTTGCTACTGGGGATGTAAGTATACTCGTATATTCTATGGTATTTTTTATCATAATTGAATAAATCAAAAATATACGCTGCGTCCATCATTAGAAGATACATCCCTAATAACCAGGTTTCAACGGTCTGTAAATTCTTTGGTCGCATCCAAGTGGTGGAGACACCATTTGCTCCTGTATGATCGTTTTTTAGGGGCAGTCCTGAATTTTTTCAGGACTGCCCACGATTCTACATTCACATTAGTCATTCGAAACTTACCATGTGTATACGTAACCACTTAAACTTAATATTTGTATCTCATACGCGGCTAAATAATATAAAATTTTCATTTCACACATGATTCGCTTGATACCCGTCGATAGTGAGGGCAGCAATAGCTAAATAGCCCGATATAATATTTCCGTCAACAAGCGATTTCCTCAGGCGTGTTGCCAAATGCATAAATGCATCGCTCGGCATAGTTTGAACCCCAAAAATGTTGAGAAACAGATATTTGAATAAAATATCCACATGCATTTTTTTCGTTCATATTACCTCTGGACTAGAGAGAGATTAGTTTTTTTTTTAAAGAAATGCATTCACAGATATTCAAATACTCAGATATTCATATATTCATAGAGATAAATGATGGTTCTTATGGTGAATTAGTTGCTCAAAGAGTCCAATGAGACGGTCACCTTGAATAAAAAAAAAAATTTGTTTTCAGGCTGAGAAATGCAAAATAGTGGAAGGATTGGAAAAAAATCTGTGCAGTGGTCAATCTTACTGCATCATCGTCAATACCGAAAACGCGGGCAACGGGGCTGTTACTTGTAAAATCAAATCTGTCGATGGGGGGTAGGTTTTCACCTAAGCTCCAATTTCAATAACCTAATATATGCTTCAATTTCACAGAGATTTGGATATAAATATCGTCGAAAATGAAGATAATACCGTCAGCATATACTATAATGTCCAGGATGCCGGGGAATATACGATCAACATCAAGTTTGGAGGTCAAACAGTCCCAGGAGGATTCTACACGTTTGTGGTGAGTGATTTTTTGAGTTTGTGATAATAATTCGTATTCTCAATGATAAGATACCAAAAATGTGTAAAATAATGTAGTATCAAGTATGTACTCCATCTTTTGAAAAAGGAGTAGTTTTCTACATTATAAGGGACGTGAGGCTCCCACAATGGCGGGAGTCTTCAAAAATAAATCCTATCATTTTTCTCAATAACATAATCACAGTCTAAACTCTGCACATTTTTTCATAAGTATGAGAGATCAAAGAATGTTTTGTTTCCAATAACATAAGTTAACCTAATATTTGGGTATCTGAAAAATCAGGTAAATATCCCACTTCGAAAACAGTTATAGTTGGCCTAAGAAATATGAACAGTGTCAGAAGCTCATCGTTTACTATTTTATGAACTACTTGGTTGAATTTAGCGGGTCTTGTCGCGGGAAATTTTCTGATAATTTGTATTTAAGATATCATTAATGCAAAAAGTTCACCTTTTTGGGTACAAATAGGCGAACTTAGAATTGCAAATGAGTATAGGTAATCTCCTCTGATAACGCCTAACGTTGCCTATACAACTATCATCCATGGATACATATGTTTCTTTTTCAATGAAACGGACTTCTAATTGTAAACATTGGTTCAACACCACCGGTACCTGCAGTGGCACCCGCCACCGGCAGTGACGCAAAAGTCTCAGTGCCAAAAACCGAATTATGTTTGTTAATGCTCACAACAGCTGCAAACTCAGAATAAATGAAAGCAAAGAACTCACAATCAGAGAATTAGGGATAAACTGCTTGCCAATCCTAACGAGTCTAGATCCTTGTGGTCGGTTAATCAGTACTTTGCAAAGTCCAAAATTCTACCACTAACACAAGCCGGTGGTTCAATTGCAAAAACAGCTATAGAAAAAGCAAATCTACTAGCTGAACGATTTGCGTCCTACTCCATAGTTGATTTCTGGGAAAAGGCACCACCCACTATTCCCACACTAGAATCCACAATGCCGGAAATTACTTTTCGACAACGTTCAGTCAGGCGAATTCTGAAACAGCTCAATATCAACAAGAGGTCTGATCCTGGTGAAATGTCCGCCATCTCACTTAAAAAGTGCGCCAATGAACTCGCTCAACCTATCTTACAAGGGACAGGTTTTTTCCTTCTTGTTGGAAGATTGCTCACGTTCAACCTATCTACAAATAACTATTGAGCAGTCGCTTTGCTATCAGTGATATCAATTATATTGGACAAAGCCGTAAACCACCATATTCTTAAATATTTGGAAGACTTTATCATCTTGAGCGATCATCAATATGGCTCAATATGAGGAAACATGAAAGGTAAAGAGCCGTTGCCCTTGTCTCGTCATTCCATTGGGATTCCAGGACATTGGCTGAGGCTGCACATCTTCACCGACAGCAGGAGGTTGGATATCTTAATGTAGATCTAGAGGTGATTTCGAATTGGGGTGAAAGTAACCAGTTTCAATTCAATGATACAAAAACCCAGGCATACGTTTTCTCCAAAAAGATAAATGTTTCCGAACCGGATATAATGTCAGGACAGACAATTCGGCTTTCTGCTTCGATAAGATAGCCGGATATAATGTCAGGACAGACAATTCAGCGTTCTGCTTCGATAAGTTTGTTGGGGGTTAGAATGGACACCAATATGTCTTGGTACAATCTTGTCGCTGGATTTGGCTGCTTCTCAAAAGCTTAAAACACTGTTCCGAACCAGAAAACTGTACACACCTCAGCAATTTTTGATGCTTTATAAAGCTCAGATAATATTTTATTTGGAGTATTTTACATATGTATGGAGCTCCGCCTCTAAGCACATCCTGAAGCTGCTGGATTCTATACAGGAAAGAGCCATTCACCTGATTGGGGACACGAACATCATTTGCAACCTCGATAGTCTGGAACCTAGAAAAAAAGTTGGAGATTTGTCTTTCTTTCATAGATACTTTCAAGGGAGGAGTTCAAGTGACTTGGCTTATTTAATTCCACTAAAAGCGATATATATCAGAAACACTCGACGAACTGTGGCTGCTCATCGTTTTGAGGTTCAACTCATTACATCTCGAACTTTACTGTTCATGAACTCTTTCATTTGGTGAACTGCGTTTATGAGGAATAAACTTCCTGCAGCGATTCAAATCCAACGTGAATCGTTACTTTCGCACAGGCACCGCTCTTAGAGCGCCTTAAGGATTTTCCTGTAGTGCTTGTGTTGTGTCTTTAACACGGACGAAGTGTCCTGGAATGTCCTCAAATCATATACTGCACAAACCTTTTTGGCACAACTTTGACAGTTATTTCCGGGGTGACGCTTTGATTTAATAAAACTCGTCAACGGTGTAGCTGTTTCTTCCAATGAGATATTTTTTCAATTTTCTTTTGAATATGCAGATGTTCATTGAGTCCTTAATAGAAACATCTAGATTGTTATATAATTTGGGCCCAAGGTATACGTGACTCTTTTGATAGAGAGAGGTTTGGTGAGGATTCGCTATCAACAACCCTCTAGCTCTAGTTGCGTATGGGTGATCTTGCTGGTTTGCGCTAAATCTTTCTTTATTCTCATAGACGTAGAGACACATCTCATATATATAAAGACCAGCAACTGTTGAGTATTTCCAGCTCTTTAAATGAGCTTCTATATGAGTGTCGCCATCCTAAACTAGCAATTATTCTGACCGCGCGCTTTTGTAAAATAAATACTCTTTCAGCAGAGGAGCTCATACCCCATTTCAAGATTCCATAGCGCAAGTGACAGCCAATAGTTGCATAATACAGATTTGGGAGAACCTCTCTTTCACAATGATTCGACATAAATCTCAGTGCATAACAATTTCGTAGTTTATCACATACCTAATGAATCTATATGAGGACCCCAATTGAGCTTATGATATAGAATTAGACCTAGCATTTTTGTTTCTGGTTTGGATGTCACCTCTAGTTGGCTATCTTCATAATGAATTATTTGTATGAGCAGAGTAGTAGACAATTGACTTGCACCCATTTAAACCTCAAATTATACCATATTAACATCATAAATAAGAATAAGAAAAAATGTGGATCGACTCAAAGTAGCAGGACTTTAGTCTGATAATATTAAATGAAACGTATAAAATTTATGAATATAACCTGATGTATAGCTGTCAGAAAATGACGGTATTGTAAAAAATCGATCACGTAAATTGCCCGTATATAAGTATAAATAAAGTTATTGGTTTCGGCATTAGATATGAAACAAAAAATATCTAAAATATTTCAATGTAGTATTTCCCATCAGCATGTGCCAATGAATTTTGTAATAGCCTCATAAAGTATCTACAGGTGTCAAGAAACAACGAAGTTTTATGTCCACGTCATTGCAGGTGTTACAAAAGTGAAATAATTCACAAATACCAAAATATCGTGAACAAAGTAAAACAAAAAAGTATATCCAGATCATTTCTTCGTAAATGATACATGAATTCGACGAAATGAGAACTGAATGAATAAGCTTTCAGGAATAGATTGGATTAGAGGGAACAGTATCCAGACTGTTAGGCCGTGATCAAGTGGAACTTGTAGTAACAAACGTTTCTTCTGCTACTGCTTCAGATAAGTTCTGTGCGTTGACTACGAGGACGAAATAACTAGTATCTCGAAGTTACAGCAGCAAACGACTGACTCTATACTGTATGATGTGCTAGGACCCTCGGAAATCACAACGACAAATTTTCTCGCCATTTTTGGGTCTAGGCCGATTTCGAGCGATCTATTAACGAGAAGGAAAATATTATTTTCTGTAAGTCACATTAAAAAGCGAACAAAACACTAATTCGATGATAGATCAGAACCAGAAGTTTCGTTGATGTTGAAAAATCTTTCAATAAGGCAGTGTCTGAAAGCTATATTCAGCATTGTGGACTATATAGGGTCTTTCATTAAGCGCTATTTGTAAATTTGAATAAAACAAAGTGTGTGTGAGATATCATCTAATATTTTTTTTCATTATTTTGAAAGACCTAATGATGCCATTATGTGTGTAATATAATATCGTTCACATGTCCGCCACGGCTTCTGTGGGTGGAGCGTATCCATGACTCTAGCGCATAATCAGGCTGAATTTGACCGAAGGCATGGCTTATGTTGGCTTTGGGGACCGCTGTGATGTGTGACTCATTCGCATTCACCTGCGACTTGAAAAAACTCACAAGAAAAAGTCTAACGGGGTCGGTGGATGGTGGCCGGTTCACTTCACCTCCACGTGAGATGACCATGTCCTCAAATCGGTCTTGCAGAATATCCAATGTGGCATGAGCTGTGTGACACGTAGCGCCATTCTGTTGGAATCACATGTCATTGGTGTCCAATTCATCCAATTCAGGCCAAAAGAAGTTGGTAATCATCGCCTTATAGTGCTCGCAGTTGACAGTGATGGAGGCCTGGCCAACGTCATTCTCAAAGAAATATGGACCAATGACCCGCCAGCCTAAAATCCACACCAAACAGTGACTTTTTCGGGATACACTATACACTCTTGAATCTCATGTGGATTGGCATTGTCCCAAATTCGACACTTTCGGTTGTTCACTTACCCATTCATGCAGAAATGGGCCTCATGGAAATTAGGGTCAGTTGCCAACTGCTGCAAAGCCCACTCAGCGAACACACGTCGTTGTCTATGGTCGTTTACCTTTAGTTCCTGGGTCAATTGAATTTTGTACGGGTACAGGCCCAAGTCACGAAGCAAAAATCGCGAAGTTGTGGTCTGCGAAAGGCCGAGTTCTTGTGACGCGAAATCGACTGCATTGTATTCTCCTGCACACTCTCACAGACACCGGCGATGTTTTCGACAGATCTTGCGTTTCGTCTACGTACAGATGTTGGTCGATCGTTTACTGAACCAGTGAACTCAAATTTATCCACCACATTGCGAATGGTCGTCTCGGTAGGACGATTATGGCGACCCTAAAATGGGCGAAGCGCGCGGTACGTTGCCCGAACAAATCACACATTTTCAT